CGGAAGATTTATTGACGACAGTTCTTATGCATTCGTCACAGATTCCATGGAAGCTGCAGAAAGTGAAATTGAAACAAGATTTTCAAGTTCTGCCACTGAACCTAATATTTTAAGCACTACCACTTCTAAAACCACTCATACGCCGTCTGGCTTCAAGAAGAAATCGGCCGATTTATCTTCAGACACAGTATCCAGAAATGAAACTTCTGTGTTTGATTTTACAACACAGCAATCGGTAATTAACCGTGACGAACAAAAGGCTCCAAATGAAGAGTTAAGTTTAACGAATTCAACAAACAGTAAGCAACAAAGTAGGTGTGAGACAAATAAAGCAAAGGAAGTAACAGCAGAGTCTGATTTGACAAACCCTCCGAACATCACGAAAGTAGACAGCGAAGTTAGCCAAAAAGCCAAAAAAAATAAAAACTCAGAAAAAACACTGTCAGCAAAATCGACAAAAAAACATTCACAATCAAAGAAAAACAGAACAAAAAGTGAGCGAGCCGAGATAAAGTTGCAAGAGTCAACAGAAATTGTTGCAGAATTCGATCCTGACGATCCAGCAGAAAAAATTCGACAAGGTTGGAGAAGAGCGCTGGACGAATTGAGACAAAGGTTACGAGCACACTTGGAAAAAAGAAGAAAAATGAACAGCAATAAAAATAATTTTGGTTCAGATGCTACTGTTATTGCTAAGGAAAACAGTGACGCAGGGGTTGACGAACAAGATGGGCACCGCTACATTATTCAGGTTGTTCGAAGTGTAGTTAAAGAGCACAGAAGTGACGCAAAAAGTAACAGACCTCAAGTTTCTTTGTTGCGTTCGGATTCAGAGGAGGGTGAACCAATACTGACTGCAGAACAAAGTTTGAAGACCTTACTGGATGAAAAACAAAAAAGCAATGTGTCTGATGAGTTAGTAGCACCTGAAAAAGGCGATGATAAAACTGAAAAATTAAAGACTGCCAAGCCTTTGACCAAGTTCCCAAGCCATGATAATGAAACAAAAGGCAAGAGTGAAAAAGCTGACGGCATTCTACTCAGTTTCGCCGGTGTTCCCACAAAGAAAGAATTTAAAAGCGAGGAAGCGAGAGTTATAAATCAGACGTCATTGTTAATCGCAGAAAACACTACTAAAGTTTCAAATGACGTACTTGAAGATGCTAAATTTGAAAAAATTGTGGAAAATGAAAACTTAACGTTGCTGAGAGAAATTGAGAGTTTTGACTTAAACGGAACAGAAGAAGAAAAATTTGGTGTTTTGGATTTATCAGAGAACTACACAGCAATACCAAAAGAGACGCCAAAAGAAACGACTACATCCATTTTGTACGACCAAGATTCATCTGAGAATTTTCATAACGTTGGAATTACCTTGACGACAGAGCCTACCGTGTCGGCTGCAAGCAGTCAACCTCTTAAGATTAAAGAAGACCTTATGACTAGTAAAATTGGCACACACGGATCAGAAGGTACGTTTGTGAGCAATGCTACAAATACTGAAGTACTGGAAGAAACGAAAAATACAAGTAAGCCACTGAAAACAGAAACTGACGGCATTTCTGAGGAACGGTCGGACGAAATAATAATACTGAGACTAGAACCAAAAGAAAAGCTGTTGAAGGCAGTAAAAAACCCAGAAGTAGCACTTGTCGTGGATGATAATTATGAGAGTAGGAGAGTGACAGAGACTGAAGTGGTAGGTGCAGTGGAATCAGGAAAGAATCTGGAGTCTGGAGAAAAATACGAGTGAGGAATTTTTAATTCACTATAAATACTTTTAAGTCATAATACCACGAAAGCATTTTCACCGCACCCTTACTTTACCGGGCTATTTCTCATTTCTCAAAAATTACAACAGGCGGGAAGTTTAACCCTATTCTTTGCAGGTCGAGTGCCCCCGACAAAACAAAAGCAGAAAACAGGAATGTCACAGAAGTCAAAGACCTTTATCAAAAAATTGCCAGCGAAAAGCAACGTTTAGAGACGGTATAGCTTTAGATTAGAGAACTTCTGTAATACAGCGCTTCTCAAAATTCAACTACGCTTTTTAACCACGAATGAGCTTCTTCATCAACACTGATTATATGTCATATTCCTATGTTATACGACCTATATAATGACTGAAACAAACAGTGATAAAAAAGCAATGACTTTCTCAGTTTCCCAAAAAATATGAATAAAAGATTTTTGAAGCATAAACTGCAGTTAAGAAAATTTGTCGAGGGCTCGAAATAGATCATATTTGAAAGAAGCTAGATCAGGAGAATAGGGAAAATGAGTAAAAATGATGATGTCTAACTTTTCTACGAGCTGCATTTGCACTGAGCGATAGAGCGTCGTTCTGAACCGATCAATTCATTTAATACATTGGGATTCAGCGAATCACTTATAAATTCTATTTCATAACCTTTAAGTGCTCGCAATGTATACGCTTGACATTATGGAACCATATTGCATGCATCCGGTTGCGGTGGAGAGAGCTTCGGAGCTTGTTTAGACTGACGGCTCCACTTTTTTCTCCGCCCCGCTGGGCAGGGTTTTTGAAGAAACCCTGCCCACTGGCGCGGAGATGGAACCACCAGCCCAAGCAAGGTATTGGCCAGTAGCACCCTGCATGAGCTAGCAGAAATCAAGGAACATACAGTTGCTCTACTTGCCGACATGCAGCATGACTAAAGTTCTAAACAATTCCTTTTATAATTATGACCGTTTAAGCTGCCGACGGGTTTGCGTGGGAAGCTACAGTGGCTTAGAAGTTGACAACTGCACTTCACGAAGAAATTGGAAGAGTGCATGTAGGCTGCTGTACACTGTCAGACCAGCAAAGAATGTGATGCGTAAATAATTTAACTGATTTTACAAAGCAAAAGAAATCTGAGCGCGAGGAGGATCGGAGCTCTTGGGCAATGCTGAACCAAATTGGTTCACTTACCCAATCTCCGGCTGACCGAGAGCTGCTGATTTGTGTGCTTTGCAGATACAAAAGCAGCTCAAATTTTGCAATAGCGTCCATCGTCAGAAGGAATTTCCAGAAATTGGACTGCACTGAAAAGTCGACATCGGCAATCTAAGACCTTCCTCAGACCCTACGTTTCCTGAGGAAGAGCTGAGGCAGGAGAGAATTCAGAAATTTAGGATCATACATGATGGAGCGGGTCCTCCTCAAGCAGCTTCTTCCACATAAACTGTGCAAGATAGCTGTCCAACAAAGTCCGTAAGGTCCCATTCCGCTCCTTATGCCCCACCCTAGATTTTTATCAAAGCGAGTCAATGGTGTCAGTGGTGTTTGTGCAGGCATCACTGAGAGGATCAATAAAGTTCAGCTTGTGATTTACCGTAAGATGCTGATACCCTTTAGGCAGGTTTTGAATGCCGTTATAAGCTGCCCACTTATCTGACATCATAGTAGTACCCGGGAGGATATACTGCCAGACAAGCGGCATAAGGGCAGCAGCATCCCTGTGCTCAACTGCAACAATAAAACATTTACTGCTCCCCTTCTCGATCACTTCAAAACACCACTGATGTGAAACAAGCCTTCCTTTATTAATTTTCTGCGGGTCAAAACCGTCTCATCAATCTTAACGACTTTACCCGGTCCGCCCAACTTAACAGGATGCCCGTTGAAGTAAGAGACACATACGTCCCGGAGGGCTTTAGAATAAGAAACGACAGTGCCGGAGATTATCGTACTGCCAGTTTCCTGGCGCATGTCCAGTGCAATTTGGTTGCACAGTGGCATGCGAACCTGTGTCCAACAGTAAAATGAATTAAAAACCTCTGTTGGCTTCAAAATTCCTCTTTTAGAAAACGTCCCCAATTGAAACCCCACCTTTTTCCTGCAAACCCTCTTTTTGCACCAAAAATACCTTCTCCGCACACTACCGTCTTTATTCCTATTGGCACTTAAGGTCATGCCGCTGCCGCAAAAACAAAGTCGTTAGACAGGAATAACCACGAGAACTTGAAGGAAAGCCTTGAAAACTTCAAATTTAAGCTTCTGAGAGATATCCCGACGACCAGAATTACGCAAGCAATCCACCCAGAGTTTTGAGAAAACACACACCGATTATCACGTAATTGGTGGAAGACAATAAATGACATCCAAGACTAGCAGAAAGTAACTTTCATCCTCAGGGATTTGCAAACACAAATGAAAACTCTGAAGCTTTACCAGCGTAAAACTTGGATATTTGCTGGAAATAGAACCAACAAATACTACGCGACATGCTAGCTCATAATCATCTGCGCCAAATGAAAGCTCAAGGTTGGAGCATTTCAAGGCATATCTAAAGTTTTTTGCGGTTAGGTAGAGGAGAGAAAGAAGAAGAAAGGTTCTTGAGCACCCTTCACTCCACTTGCCTTTCCCTCTTCTTTACCTGTGTTCGCAAGAGCATTTGCTGTTTTCTAAGCTTTCTCCCTCTCTTCACCAAAATGCGTTCACCGGACGCTTTACAATGGAAGGGACCATCTAACGCCCAGTCAGTTGAGTTAACCAACCAATTTCATTTTCTCCCGAATCCAAAATAAAACTTTCAGAACACCATCGTTTTTCGTGTTCCCTATATGACTGTATGCAACCAGCTCTAGACGGGTTGCGCAGGCTGTGCATCAGAAAAGTGAGGAGATATCTCTCACCGTTATCAGTGAGTTATACATACTGTATATGGCATCCACATACTGTACAAAAAAAAACAGGCTTCTTATTGGCATCATACCTTCCAGCCAATCAGCATGATGGAGCCACCAGTCTAAATGAGAGCCAAAGCTTCTTAATTTAACATCTTATTTCAGCGACGTCTGAGTTGAAAAAGTTTTCAGAAAGATATTGCTAATTTGTACATCCTGTTGCCCTGTTTACGCCGTTTTTCTTTATAAGTTCGTTTGGCGCTCACGTTTGAAGCTTTGGATTAGAGTTCTATAAAAAAGCGCATCGAGACTTTTCTGTTTACATTTCACTTGCTAATTTTACTAACTCATCTTTTCGAAAAAAAAACTGTATACGTTTTTGACTTCAATGTTATTTAGATGCTGTCTTACCAGTCCTCTCTCGTTAGCTTAAATGTAACGTCGTTTCCAAAACGTTATAACTGGATTTTTTATTTTTTGAAGTTCCTGTAATACGAAAATTTTTAGAGCACTTCTCTCCAGTAATTAAGGTGGTTGATTTACTTCTACTATTCACAACTTGATCTAACAAAAACTTCAGTTTAATCGTATATATGCGTACAGTGTTTGATTATACTCCAGAACTGAACTTTCAGTAGGAATATTTCCACTGGCAACTTAGGAAAAATGCAATGGAAAG